GTGTGCCACGCAGTAGAGCAAGTGTACCTGCATCGCCCCGAGACGCAGCCTTCGAACATGTCCCCTGGCCCTTACCTACCTGTTCATGTTTAGCTCTATTTCTTGGGGAGTCGCAAATAGCCCAGTAAAATATGGTTTTAAATACGACCCGTACGCTGCAGAGGCCACCTGCTACCAAAAAAAAGGGGAGATCTGATGACAACCTTTGGACTAGCCCAGAGAGGGTGAGTACACGCATCAGGATGTCATAAGCCAATAAATTATATCACCCATCGCCTCCGACTGCTCCTTCACCGGCGTGAATTCCTAGACGAATTCACAGACGTTGTTTTTTTTCTGTGCGGAGCTCATGCTTAGTCCTGGGTCAGAACCATCCTCGCGCAGCTGGGCCAGCGCCTGCGCTTCGTAGCGCTGGTAGGTGGCCATAGCCTGCATAGTGAGGACGGAGGCACATGCAGCACACTGTGTGAGCCTACTGTGCGCATTCAGGACGAAGGGGACGGGGAGGCTTAGAAGGTCTTGCCTTCATCCTCCACATAACACCGCTCTAGTCGTTCCGGCCGCGGGGCTGGGGGATAAATCATTTCCAGATCCACGGCCGAAGCAGCCTGAGGAAGCACCGCCACGAAGTCTGCTTCTAGATTCGACGCCACGCTCATCATCCCGGAGGGATGGAGCGGGTTTGAATCCTCATCAGTCAATGACAGCCCATTCTCCGATGCAGCGATGGATCCAAGGACGGATCGCTTCTCTTTACCTGGGGCTTAGATGGAGCACATGAAGGAGCGAGATGTCTGCAGCCCAAAGGCAACGGATTTACTCCCACTGTAACCAGATCTGTCCGAGTTTCCAACCGCAGTGCGGGGGACAACTGGGGTGGATCGCTCTTTTGCAAGAGCGAGCCGCGATCTTAACTGCGCAACAGACATGACATCACAGTGACGTCATGCACTGCCCGCGAGCACCGCATTAACATGCTGGACCCCCAGACATGAAACGCTGTGCTCGTGCCCATTATCCGGGGACATGAAACCACCGCATCCAAAAACACACTGTCAGAGCGACTTCTTGAAAAAGACGTGCTGCACAACCGTGTTGCTCTTTTAGGAAAGCTTTTTTCCTATATACAAACCGCTCTTGGAGGACTGGACCCAAAGGACGCAAGACAAGAGAGAAAAACACAGCTCGACCGTCTGCCACTGTGTATACGCACTCTGGACCGGGAGAAGCTACTTCTCGATCGCTCTCTGTAGACATAGGTGGGAGATACCCTCAAAGACTCTCTCAGAAGCTTCGTGAAGCTTAAAAGGATGTTGAGCATTGCACTAGCCCGTCTTTATAGCATGACTAATTGTCATTGACACCAGCTGTGCACGCTGACACCATTTCATTTCATTAGCCTGTTTTTACACTCTTTCAGATGATTGGATTCTGACAAAATCCCCATAGTGGAAGTTTCCACATAGCATTGGAGTTCCCCGTTTGAAGGGGAACACAAATTAGTGTTTTCTCCCCGGACAGCGCACCAAATATGCCTAAACCTATTGTCAATTATTAAGTGTGATCCCTTGAAATTTAGTATACTTCTATTGATTTTATGTAATATTTTCAAGTCAAAGCAATATAGCAAACTCATAAAAATAATTGATAATGACTTAATGAATTTATTTAAAAAAAAAACCTTTTTGACTTTTCATCACTGACCCCAAACTTTATAACAGTATTTATGTTCCTATTTTAGTTATCATATGTTTATATGCTCTTGTTTTGTTATATTTACACTTAATTTGGTAATTTAAATATTAATTCACATACCCAATTTTTACAAGCACATCTGAAACATTTGACTATCAAATGAATCTTTGTCAAGCACATTTCCCATATACTCCATGATGACAGAGTTTTAGGTGAACTGTCTCTTTAAATACTGGGAAAACCAGCAAAAGTTAGAGAATTTGGCTCATGGTCTTATTAGCTCCTATTTGATCCAGGAGGTTATTATGAATTTGATATTGATCTCTTGCTCTACACCTTAAATTACCTTTGAGATGTGTCTATTGGCACTGAATGGAGCACCATGTTTTCCTCTTTATCTCTTTCTTATCATCAGCTGAGCTCAGTCTGTCTCTGTATACGTTGAGGTCAGCAGTTTGGCCGTCACCGCCTGGCTTTAACAGATTGCTGGTTCACTCATCTTGTGCGTCTTCCAGGTTTGTGATGCACCTGCCATCATTTCACAAACTCATGGACATCTGAAAGAATTAAAAGCACAGTCAACAGAAAACACCCCAGAGCTAGACCTTTGACTTATGGTACAAGAGGGATAAAGGAAAACAGTAAAATTGTGCTTTTCACTGCACGCATAGGGTATAAATGCATATGTTTTGTTTCTAAATAATAAACAGGTATAAATGTGTGTATTTCAAATGGGACAGTTTGGTGTCAGTTGACAAGCATTGCTATGCTATTGTCAATTGAATTGCATTGTACATTTATTATTTATATATATATATATATATATATATATATATATATATATATATATATATATATATATATATATATATATATATATATACAGAGGTTCTTTTAAATTAATATTTACAAGCATAACATCAGTGTGTACTACTACTGCTAATACTACAACTAATAATAATAACAATAATAATAACTGTAACTTAAACATGTCAAAATTAGAACTGTCCTTATAATTAAAAATGTTGTTGTTTGAAATGATTTAATTGGTGTTGCAGTATTACAAGCTTTAACACAGAACTTATGAATGACGCCTTATACATACTTTCCAACAACTGATATTCCAACAGCTTTCATTTATAACCTTCTTTTTTGCTGCTGAATATTATTGAAAACAAACATAATATTGTATTATCATCATATATACAACATAGTCAATATAAATATTATCTCCAGTAAATATTATAACAAATAAATAACAAGTCTAGTATATCCAGATGCATCAGAATAATGTAGTTACTAGCTAACAATGTTTATATATTATACTATATACTATGCCTGTCTTAACGGCCTCTGAGCTAACTTACCAGAACTGTCTGCATCACTGCTCTTATCAAATGTCCAATCTGCATCATTCTCATGGTCACTGAACCCCATCACATCCTTACTTTCAAAAGTAATTAATCAAAAGTATTGTCATTAAAACTAGATCCTCAATGCAAATGCATTTATGTTGTTGTTGTTACAACTTAAAGGATCACAGCTGACCTTGCTAGCTAGCTAACCCATTGCAATATTTTAGATTCCACTATTCCAAGATTTACAAAAAAATAAATTGCTAAGAACTTTTTTTGGGGTTGTGCATATGGCATCATAACTCACTGGGATTTTTTTTGTTGATCTGACATGAGTTGATCACTGCATGTCATGTGACTTAACCTAAGCACATCATTGGCTAAACTAGGTCTTTTCTTTCCAACAAAAAAATTAGAATGTTGGTTTTAAAGACACAGTAGCAGGGAAATGAACATAAATATCATGTTACCATATGGCAACACCATGAGGTAGAGGGATAATAATAATAATACAGCAATAAAATTATCTCAATTCATACAAAACTAACAAATAACACATTATTGACTACCTAAAATGAAGTGTTCATTGCTGCTTGATATTTACGCAAGTGCTTCATTTTTTTCATACATTGTTTTTATTTATTTATTTTTTTGCATCAGCTGGTCGATACTTTGCTTTTTAGTTGTTTTTAAAGTTCACCGGCATGTAGATGAATCCAGTGTGTTCTTGATAATGAATGTAGCACTTTGTAACTCCCTGAAGACGTGGTAGCAAATGAAAGATGACAGATTTTAGTTTGAAGGTTAAATTTAGCATTGTCTATTATCACCTGCTGTGTTTTCAGTGGGCCCTGTAACAAAATGTAATTGTAAATCTACACTATTTTCATGTTGTTTATCTCTTCTGATTTCCATATATATATATATATATATATATATATATATATATATATATATATATATATATTTTTTTTTTTTTTTTTTTTTTTTTTTTACAAATAGTAATCATCAGGCTCTTCTGCTATGTCTGGATTGATTGTTTGGCAGGAAAGTATGTCAGCTGAATGCAGCAGCTGTAAACAGCTGGAAGTCATGTGGAGCAGGGGTACAGATGAGTTTACATTAGTACCCAAGTAAATGACTGCCGGTGTGAAATATGACCAGACTTTATAAGCTTGGTGTTCTTTTTCATAAACACTTGAGCAGGTCATCCAGTCTGCTTTTACATGGCATTAAATTCGGGGAGTTTATGTCAGTGCCACTTTCCATTACACATCAATATGACTTTGTCCTGTGACTTTTTTTTTTCAGAAAGGTCTTGACATAAATCTGTGATATTTGTGTCCCATAATCAACATGCAAACCAGATACACCAGCCTTAATATCTAATAAAAATGTACCCTTGCTAACATTTTCACCATTATTTACACATTTTTTACACCATTATTTGCATACATGTGAGACAGTGTATTTCTTAGAATAGCAAGATTACACTCAGGTTTCCCATTAAACATGTTGGTAACAGAGTTTAAAAAAAAAACTGCAAACCACATAGAAGAATTATAGAAAATAAAAATAAAATAAATGTAAATTAATACAATTTAAAAAGTAAATATATTAACAATTATTACTTATTAAATAAGTAATATATTAACAAGTAAAAAATAATAACAACAAATAAAGACACGAGTTTTGGATGACGTAGATGCTTTCTTTTTGATCAAAAAACCATCTCAATCATTTTGTTTAGATGTTGGTGACATTAGATTGTAGTTTTGAAAAATTCTGACCTCAAGATACTACTACATGTGCAATTCCCCAGCTGGGTTTACTGGATATTACCCAATTTGCCATTATTAATGAAGAGCACTGTGTATATTTTGAAAACGCATTATTGTGTGTCTTTTTTGTAGATAGTGACCGATGCTACATATGTATGTTTTTGTGTAGATGGCGGAACCAAGAAGCTGCGCAGTACCATCCGGCGGAGCACAGAGACGGGTATTGCAGTGGAGATGAGGAACCGCGTCACACGGCAGGGCAGTAAGGATTCAACAGACGGAAGCACCAACAGCAACAGCTCTGACGGAACGTGAGTGCGATAATAAAATACAATCATCAACAGACAAATTCATTATCAAATTAACTATTAATTATACCCCTAATTATGATCGTATCTTGAAAAGCTTCATGCAATTCACTGATATGTTTGTAATGTGAGATGTGTAGCTGTTTCCATCCAAAGATGCGAATGAAATTCATGCACAAAACTGAAATATCAGTTGTGTGTGTATGTTTGTTGTGTGTGTGCATTTTCAACAGTTATGCGCATCTTGGCATTTCCATTGTGCTTTTTAAAAATATAGCTGGATGGAATGATGAAGTAGGTCTCACAAAACTATTACATCATTTGCAAACATACTTGCTTTGTATTAAAGGGGACCTACAGTATTATGCCCCTTTGAGCAAAATGTCAAATTCATCAGATGTCTCTGATGTCCCTAGACTGTGTTTGTGAAGTTTTATCTCAAAATACCCCACAAATAGTGGTTTAGAACTCTTTGAAACTGCCCCTTTTACGCTTTGATACTCATTTTGCCATTTTGGTGACTGTTGCTTTAAATTCAAATGAGATTTTGCACACAGCTCACCTTTCAAAAAAGGGCGGAGCTACTGTGGCAGCAAAGTGGCAGATTTAAAAATAAGACACATCCAATGCTAAGAGAGTGTCACCAATGGGTGGGTCTTTCTCCCTCTGATGACACACACAAAGGGAAGATGTCAATCAAAGTGTTTCTGCAAACTGTTTTTTATCAAGTGTGATTATAAAAACTAAAATTTATACATTTTTACCATTAGAAGCTGGTTATATTTAGTATAGCCACACAACAGAGTTTAAACTTTCCCCTTATAAAACTTTTATAAAACTTTATTGTGTTTGAAAAATGGCTTATTTCACACATCTCAATGGGTCTGCTTTAGGTTCATCTTCCCCACCACTCGCCTGGGCCCTGAGAGCCAGTTCAGTGATTTTCTGGATGGCCTTGGTCCTGCTCAGATAGTGGGGCGTCAGACATTAGCCACACCATCAATGGGTAAGAGACATGTGTATATATACAGTTGAAGTCAAAATTATTAGCCCTGATAAATGATTTGCCCCCCTGTTTAATTCTGTTTAACAGAAAGATTTTTTCAACCCTTTTTTAAGCATAATACCTTAAATAAATATTTTCTAATAACTGATTTATTTTATCTTTGCCAGATATTTTTAAAGATACTAGTATTTACTTTTAAGAGCAATTTAAAAGCTTAATTAGGTATGTTAGGGTAATTAGGCAAATCATTCATTCATTCATTTTCTTGTCGGCTTAGTCCCTTTATTAATCCGGGGTTGCCACAGCAGAATGAACTGCCAACTTATCCAGCATATGTTTTACGCAGCGGATGCCCTTTCAGCCGCAACCCATCTCTGGGAAACATCCACACACATTCACACACACACTACGGACAATTTAGCCTACCCAATTCACCTGTACCACATGTCTTTGGACTGTGGGGGAAACCGGAGCACCCGAAGAAAACCCACACGAAGGCAGGGAGAACATGCAAACTCCACACAGAAACGCCAACTGAGCCGAGGTTTGAACCAGCAACCCAGCGACCTTCTTGCTGTGAGGCGACAGAACTACCTACTGCGCCACTGCCTCGCCCCTAGGCAAATCATTGTATAACAATGGTTTCATCTGTAGACAATTGAAAACAATTATTGCTTAAGGGGGCTGATATTAACATTAAAATGTTTTTTTTTTTAATGTAACGGTTTTTATTCTAGCCAAAATAAAACAAATAAGACTTTCTCCAGAAGAACAAATGTTATAGGAAAAAATGTGACAAATTCCTTGCTCTGTTAAACATCTTTTGGGAAATATTTGAAAAAGAAAAGAAATATACACACTACTGCAGTATAAAACCATACAGTCCAATTAAAAAGGAGAAATGTGAAACTGTTTCTCAAGACTTATAATTTATAGTTTTGTGTTTGGGTAAAACAATTGTTTTGTTTTAATCTGTAAACAGTTTCTGTAAAGAAAAGTTTGGAATTGAAAAATTTGAATTAGAAAGAATTTAAAAAAAAGGTGCCATGTTTTCAGCGGTTGTTTAATTTCGGCTTTAATTTTTGGCTAAACAATAGCAATGTTTTAACTTAAATTAATATTACATGAAATAACCCTGATTATCAGTCACAACATAGAAATCTTTGTCTCATTTCCTGCTTTTTTCTATTATTAGAAATTAAAAATTATTAGAAATTTGGCCATTTATTAACATATCTAACATTTCAGCTAATATATATATATGAACATATGTACATATTTATTATTCCAATGGTTGGAAAAAATATAAACAGCAATTTTTGACAAATTTTATACATGTAAAATCTAAATATAAACCTGAATGTCTTATATGTAATTTGCATAAATTGGCAAATATCAGATTTCTATATACTCTACGCTGACTGAAAGCCACAGACTTCAAATTTGTTTAGATGTGCTCATTTGTCAAGTCAGAATATTTAATTTTGCACGTATTGTAATTTGGGAATTGTGATTATTTGTGGGACCCCAGCATTTAAATGTATCTATTCTATCCCCCTTTTTAATGACAAAATGAAGCCAGAAAGACTCAGAAATGGAGGTTATATCTTGTTCTTTGTCTCCACCTGCTGTTGACATCTCCCAATGCACAATATCTGCCCTGAAGTCTAGATATTCATAAGCTGTCTGGTTTTCTCAGGTGATGTGTACATCGGTGTGGTGGACAGAGGAGGTCAGTTAGAGGTCGAGATTACACAGGCCCGAAGTCTGACCCCTAAACCAGGCTCCAAGAACATTCCAGGTAAACCATTATTAAACATCATTGTTAACGCAATTTATCCACTTTACCTGTTCGGCCAGGCCATTATACACTGGATGTTTTCTTCTCTGTCAGCAACATATATAAAGGTTTATGTCCTGGAGAACGGGATGTGTCTTGCTAAGAAGAAAACCAAAGTGGTGAAGAAAACCCTGGATCCAACCTTCCAGCAGTCCCTGATGTTTGATGAGAGCCCGCAGGGGAAAGTGCTACAGGTATCACAAATTATATAAAGCACTCTGAGATCCTTCACAAACACATTGCTCACAAAAAGCGTATTTGAGGCCATTTGAGGCAAAATCAATCTGGTGTGGTGTCATTTATCATTTAAATCTGGCAAAATTGGTCTGTGATGATGATGTAATAGAAATTAGGAATAGGAAATTTACTCTAGATCATTTCTTCTCTTCAGCCCAGTGAGTTTAGAAATTTTTTTGCTTGTAAATTAAGAAAAAAATAACTTTTTTGTATTAAAATCTAAATATTCAATTTAAAAAAAGTGCAATTAACATTTTAAAAATTTTCACCAGTCTTACTTTTTTTGATGGAAAAATGTAAGTTTGTTGATGCTTCTGTCTTTGACTGTGAAGATTTTAAACTGTGAAAAGTGTTCTATTTTCACAATTTTAAACCCAGTAAAAAATTTTGTACAGCTTTTGCACTGTAGTTTTTTATATTTTCCTTTTTCTTTTTTGTAAGGAATATTTATTGCTTATTTATGCTCTAGTAAATAACTTACTGTAATAAATAAATAAATTAATGTTTTCCAAAATAATAAGTGAAGTTAATTTATAAACTAATTTCGAGAGGATCACATGCTTATGATTGACCACAGCTGGTTCTGCATTAGCTAAGATATCAGATGATTCCTAACTCACTATAAATAACCAGTTATTATTGGTTATATGATTAAAGTCTCTACTGAACCAATTGGCATTTCTGTGCAGTTTGCTTGTTCTCCCCATGCTCGCGTGGGTTTCCCCCGGGTTCCCCAGTTTCCTCCCACAGTCTAAAAACACATGACCTAAGTAAATTGAACATTCTGAGTTGACATTATATCAAACTCTTAGTAAGTCATACATCTTTCTTTAATAATCCCCTGATCTGTTAAAATTAAGTCGAGGGAGTTCATCAAGATCTACCTGTGCTCAAACTCCCCTCTCGCCCTGCTAACTTGAGAGAGCCCAGGGCTCGAGAAACTTCTGAGCTCAGGGCTCTCTCCCGGGACAGCATGCCAAACAAGTGTTATTATCAATCATCAGCTAAGTGTGAACTGTTGAAATAATTATGCAATTGCTTGTGTCATCATACATTTTTTATATTTTTATAAAAGTCATTTATTTTACATTTATTTTAAAGACATGCATTACTGTTTAAAGGTTTGGGGCCTGGAAAATTAATATTTGTTTTATTAAGATTTACTATTCTAGAAAACATTTTTATGCTCACCAATGCTTTATTTATTGGTCTAAAGAACAAAAATACCAGCAATCTATTTAAAAGTTCTTTATTTTATTTTATTACAATTTTAACAATTCAATTTGTTCAGTTTAAAATAATTTCAATTTTATTCCTCTTGGTTTATTCCTTCAGTGTCACAGGATCTTTCAGAAATTATTTTAATATGCCAATTTGATGTTCAAGAAGCAGGAATCTTTAATAAAAATATGGTTTTCTAATCTAAATACGTTTAAAATAATAATATACACTCACCGGCCACTTTGTTAGGTACACCTTACTAGTACTGGGTTGGACCCCCTTTGCCTTCAGAACTGCCTTAATCCTTTGTAGCATAGATTCAACAAGGTACAGGAAATGTTCCAAATATTACATATTTGTTGGTTGCACATTCATGATGCGAATCTCCACCACATCCCAAAGGTGCGCTATTGGATTGAGATCTGGTGACTGTGGAGGCCATTTGAGTACAGTCTGGGATGACATGGCCTGTTATGCTGCTGGAAGTAGCCATTAGAGGATGGATACACTCACTGTGGTCATAAATGAATGGACATGGTCAGCAACAGTACTCGGGTAGGCTGTGGTGTTGACACGATGCTCAAATGCTATTAATGGGCCAAAGTGGGCCAAGAATATATCCCCCACATCATTACACCACTACCAGCAGCCTGAACTGTTGATACAAGGCATGATGGATCCATGCTTTCATGTTGTTGATGCCAAATTCTGACCCTACCATCCGAATGCTGCAGCAGAAATGGAGACTCATCTGACCAGGCAACCTTTTTCCAATCTTCTTTTGTCCAGTTTTGGTGGGCCTGTGCAAACTATAGCCTCAGTTTCCTGTTCTTAGCTTCTAGGAGTGGCACCAGGTGTGACCTTCTGCTGCTGTAGCTCATCCTCCTCAAGTTCGGACGTGTTTAGAGATGCTCTTCTGCGTGCCTCAGTTGTAACGAGTGGATATTTACTTTACTGTTGCCTTTCTATCAGCTGGAACCAATCTGGCCATTCTCCTCTGACCTCTGGCATCAAAAAGGCATTTGCGCCCACAGAACTGCCACTTAATGGATATTTTCTCTTTTTCAGACCTCTTTAAACCCTAGAGATGGTTGTGCGTGAAAATCCCAATAAATCAGCAGCTTCTGAAATACTCAGAGCAGCCTGTCTGTTACCAGCAAGCATGCCACGTTCAAAGTAACTTGAGTCACCTTTCGTCACGATTCTGATGCTCGGTTTGAACTGCAGCAGATTGTCTTGACCCTGTCTACATGCCTACATGCACTGAGTGGCTGCCATGTGATTGGCTAATTAGAAATTTGCGTTAACAAGCAGTTGGACAGGTGTACCCAATAAAGTGGCCAGTGAGTGTAAATCTTTTGTAATATGTACACATTAATTGAATGATTCATTGTTATGTTTGATTTCACTTTTGACATCCTCACTCAATTAATTTGCTAAAAATGATCTTTCATGTATAACTTTCCCAGGTGATCGTGTGGGGTGATTACGGCCGCATGGACAGCAAGTGTTTCATGGGAATGGCTCAGATCCTCCTGGATGATCTGGATCTGTCATCGATGGTGGGGGGTTGGTACAAGCTTTTCCCCACCTCCTCTCTGGCAGACCCCAGCATCGGCCCCCTGACCCGCCGCCTGTCCCAGTCCTCCCTCGAGAGTGCCACCAGCCCTTCATGCACCTAGACACATACCATCAAGATACGCCTGTGTCGTCTATCTATACGTGTGTATCTTTGTTCAATATACCCCGCCACCAACCCCAAAAGCATGAATACACACTCTGATAGATGCAGCCAACTCGCCCCGGAGCCGAAATGCTCCAATTTACGGATACAGATTTTAAGAGTTGGATACAAAATCAGATTATGAATCAATTAATACACACAAGCATAGATGGATATGGCTGTAACCAGCAACATGCGGTTGTTGGGACGTCCTGAATTAGTTAGGGCTAGTTGCATACCGATCCATTGTCCGCCAGTCAATAAATGGGGCATTTAATAAATCTGCTCAGATACATTACTGACGATGTAGCATTTGTGTTGGCATCATGTCACACTAGAAGCTGAACACGTTTGACTAGCAGATCCAGACCCCTCGAGGGGGTCAATCATTTCTCTATGCCAAACCCGATCAAAGTTTTATTTTTTAAAAACCAAAGCAATTGTTATTATCTGTAGTGTTATATTATAGAGTATGGAAATGTAGCAGAGTCAATGACTTAGATGAGATGCAAAAAACAGTTGTGTTTAAAAAAAATGAAGGTGGTCACATTAGCAAAATGTAGGCGAAATTTCAAGGGCGTCCAATTTCCAATGCCAATAGTGTAGCGATATAGGAAGCACAGCTCTCACAGAAATCAAACGAAGCAATTTTTGTTGTGAAAATACTGGAGTGAACGCATAGATTCCCATCGGAATTGGGATTTGCCTAGGGAATTTCGCAGAGCAACAGTAAATGTGACCGCACATGTAGACTACATACACAATTCAACTTTTAAAGGGCAGGGCTTTACTCCACATGTCAGGTTATTTATTAGAAATGCACACGATTCCTATCGCATAAAGTAGCGTATTCTTTAATTCTTCTTTTGGAGAGCTGAATAAATAAATATATAGATCGATATTTGTGTTCATGTATTTATCGACTGCATTCTGCACGTTAACTCGCAACCCTTGTTGAGCAAAATATGTAAAGTGCTATTTTAAGCTTGCCTTTCCAATTACGTAGACTTATAGATGGTAGGTTATTTATTTTGCTAATGTTTTAATCTCACTTTTTGTCTGAACAAACGCAATCTGCACCGAGCTGCAGACGTATGGAAACCTCCGAAAGGAGAACCAACTGTCCTGTTAAACCAGCAACCCTCATACATAGCTGCAATGTGGGATACGCCGAACGCCGTTCGTTGGCACGCAAGAAAACTGTTCTTGTTGCAAAGTAGCAAAGATTTCTGGCAAGTTGGATTCACATTAGACTTATCCGCCTCAAGTAGTTTTGGGTTTCTTTCTACCAGCATTTGGATCCAAACTGTTAAAGGCCTTTCCCGTTTCCTGCTACACTCAGGAGGTCAACCTGGACAAAAACCACACACATGACACACACACACAAAAAAAGAGGACTGGTGATGGCGTAGCTTTCTCAATGGGATCTGGAGAACTAAAGGTATTCTGCAAACTCCTGAACACTTTGTTTTTGTCTTTAAACTTTGCCATTGTGACTTTTCCTGTCCAATCAGCAGTCTTCTTTAGCTTTGTCTCTGAAGCTGAGTGCTTCTAATAGGCTTCTTTAGTCGATATTTGGGGTCACGAAGACATGTGGAATGAAAGCAGCACTGTAGGTAAAATGAAACTAAGAATTTATACTCGCATCTAGATCTTCTGAATATTCCAGTGGAAGACGATATCTATATATCACAGTTCATTTTGTCAAATCATATCAGATTTGTCAGCCACAGAATAACTGCAACACGTACTGCATATGAGTACAGATTGAGATACCACTACTGATCATTTGCCAAGATGTTTATATAATTCAACCTATTTAAACTTTGAAAAGAAGCGCACAAACTTTGAATAATGCTTGATTCCATGGCTGATCTTTCAGCTCTGCTTTTCAAAGCAGATTATGAGACCATCAGTAAATGATTTCATCTGATTTATCATTTTCGCATCAATGTTTAAAGCATTTTTGTTGTCGTGTTTTGCATATGCTGTCTCTACAGCTGTCTTTTCCATCTGCAAATGTCATCGCAACCCAGATCAAGATGTATAGCACAAAGTATTTCCTCAGTGTTTAAGAAAGTGTGCCTCATTTCATACTTTCAACATTTTACTTGTATAAGTTTCTTTCTGTTTTTGAATAGTTGTTACATACATGCACTTTACACACACATTTCAATGCATTTAGGAATATGTACAATACTCTAAAACACTTTTTTTGCATATATAGAGAGACGTATCATTGAAGCTTGAGAAACAGATTATTGTGAGTTAGGGTGTGTTCATACTTGGCATCAGTGTTGGGGAAAGTTATTTTTGAAAGTAATGCATTACAATATTGAGTTACACCTCAATAAAGTAACTAGTTGCATTACGTAGTTACTTTTTATGGAAAGTAATTCGTCATGTTACTTTTGAGTCATTTTTCAGTTACTTTTACTTATACCTGCCTGAGTCTTGATCTCTTTTAGAACTTGCAGGGTATTTTTCTTTTTTTTTAAATAGAGGAGCTCTGCATTTAATGACACACTGTGTAACCTACACGTTCATATACTTTTTTTTCTTCAATTTACTACATTTTTTAAATAGAACAATGTTACCTTCTAAGAACTTCCTGACATGCCGTATATACAGTGCTACTTTTGTATGCTTGTCTTATTAGTTCAGTAATGTCCATTGACACTATACTGTTTTCTTCCATGTGTTCAAAATAATGAGAATACTTCTCAGAAATGTAAGACTCTGCCGTCTTGGTTTCTGTCTGTTCCCGCAGGGAGCTTATTCTCTTACTGAGTGTGATTCAATGTGATTACACTAAATTTAAATCAGCAACTTTTTTTTAAAGTGACAGTTTTAATTTTTATGTTAAGCTGCTTTGACGCAATTTACTTTTTAAAAACGCTATAGAAAAAAGATTAATTGAATTGAAGGCCAAAATAAGACTGTCAGTGAAAATATAATAGAAATTTAACAATATATCAAAATAATAATCAAATACGCAAGAATGAATGACTACACATAAAGTCACACATAAATCTGTTTATTTACTGACTATTCTGTATGTGATTATTGTTAGATGGCAATAGTCAAAAAATAACGTTAGATGGTTTTGCGATGTTGCTCGTTGGGAACATTGTTTTGGATGCTTGGTAAGTTAATTCTGCCATAAAAAAATAACAGCGTGAATGCTAAGTTACTCAGAACCAAATATTAATTTTCTTTTTAGCCTGGATTAAATAGGTCAAGGGAACTGAGCTACAAGTATAAACACACTCTAAATCCTTAAACACAAGTCAAATGTAATGCAGACTAAATATGTAAACAAGCAGCAAAAGTTGGACCATCACTGTAACAAGTGAATAGTTACTTAAAGTGAGTAAACCAATTGCCTTAAAAGAAACAAGTTGACTTTACAAAAATAATGTAAGTAAACCCATTGTGACTTGGAAATGTTAAGCTCACTTAATTTTTATTATTATGTCAATTGAACTAATCACTTTTCCAATACACATTTATTATATTTGTTTATTCCCCCCAGCTTTTCCATATCTAGAAAATGACAGTAACTAAAATAAATCTTCTTTTCCAGACTCCAGTGTGTCTTTTTAATTCAATATAATCCACAACTAGTCCGACACTATAAAATGGGATTAGTTGACTTCAAAAAATTGAGCACAATCAGCATATTTATAACAATTTAACTTTACAGTTCCAAGTTACAATGGGCTTACTTACAGTATTATTGTAAAGTCAACTTGCTGCTTTTAGGGCAATTGGTTTCCTCGCTTTATTATATAAGTAACTATAATCCCTTTTTACAGTGTAATTAGATCAGATAAGTAGATTGACCAGTGGGTGCTTTCATTCTGGGAATACTATGTGCAACACATATTTTCAGCCTTTTCTTATTTTCATCTGAAACTACAGATGTTGTGCATTCAAACATATATTTTTTAATTGTAACATTGAGAATAGACTATTTTACTTTACAGCCTATAGTTGATGTGTTCTGATCTCAAAGGCTTTGCCTATATAAAATACATATAAAATGAGTGTGCTAGTCCTCACATACAGTACATTGCTTGCTTGATTTATATTTGCACAAGTCTGACTGCATTGCGGCTTTCTCTTTTTCACTGAATTAGGAACAAAAAAGGACTCTAACTAAAGATGAAACTGTATTCATGTACTGAAAACAAGTTGTATTTGCAGCTGAATGTTTGTCCTTGGTAAACACTATGACATACTAAATATTGATATTTTTTCTATGTGATTTTACGTACTCGGAATTAAACGTGTCCCTTTATGCGTAGCTACAAAATCTTACCAGTCTTGCAATTTTTGCGAAAATGAAAAGCATGAATATTTGTACTCTACTGCTTTATTTCATTTTATTTTTCAGGTGTGGTGAATGGATGTAGTTTGTTGCATTCATAGCTAAACCAAATGCAACATTGACAATAACAAAAAAATATTAAAAACTAAATTTTCTGCTTCCAAATTTTAGCGGCTTGTATACGATTTGATATTATAACATGGAATGAAGACGATCGGATCAGATACAGCCATCAAATGCTTCTGTGGTGTTGATGATCTGTAAATAGAACTCTTTGAGTGTGATGTTGTAACTGAGTGTGATGTAAGATACCCGAGGAGTCTCTGGCATCATGTTTGTTCAAATGCTTGGTATTGAATCAAAGTATTCATGCTTTTAAATGCGAGATCACTGCTCTTTAGTTAATACATGATGAAGACCTGGCAGTTTTATGGCGTGCATAGTTTAGTGTGAGTAGGTGACACCAGCCTGACTGGGGAATGATCTTAACGCACTGAAGGCAGATCAATATCATTGTGTTATGAATGGACCTGACAGAAAGTTTCTGTGTGGGCCAACAATCATAGCTCTTGGATGTGATCAGCCTTGGTCTTCATGCTTACTTTTTTATTTGCATTCAAAAACAGACTGCAGATTGTAAAACTGAGAATAACGTGAGACTTTGAGCATTGCTTTTATGATATTTTGCCTTTAAACTGTATATAAATGTTGAGATTGCTTTATTTCAAATAGGAATGTAATCTTCCTTACTACTGTATCTGGGCCATTTAAAACATTGTCATGTCTTTTTACGAACCCTTGATACTGATTTTGTCACGTTCATGAACAAATATAAGTATTATTGAGGCAATGTTTAGCTTATTTTTGTAAAAAAGAAAAATATATATATTTTAGAGAGTGCTCTGTTGGATGAAAGGCGGTGGCTTTATTGCCTGTAAGAATATTATAAGGCTGGAGAGTTTTGCTTCAATATCATCAGTGATACTAAAGTATCTCTAACTTGAATGTATGTATTTCTATTTTGTTGTATTATTTGTCTTGTGTCATCTAAATGACAGAGAATAATCTTTTTCTTAAATGTGTTTAAAAGGATAGTACATCAAAAACTAAAAATGTGCTCCTTTTCTCAGTCCCAGGCCATCCAGTTGTAAAGACTGTGGTTCATAAAATACATGTGAATCATCCCAGCAGGCACACAACATCATAAGATGTTAATAGGTTCAAGAGTTCACTCTTAGCTGATGATTTATTAGCTTGTTTGGCATGCTGTCCCAGGAGAGAGCCCTGAGCTCAGGGGATCCTCGAGCCCAGGACTCCCTCTCTTTCGCAGGGCAAGGGGAGATTGAGCTCAGGTTGATCTCAAAACTCCCCCGCTACTGAGGCTAGGTGAACTTCCTGACAGTGAAACATTTAGGAAAAGAGACTTAGGCTATTTTGTCTATAATATAGAGCATATTTGGACGGTGGGAGGAAAATCGGAAGCCCGCAGGAAACCCACGCAGACACGGGGAGAACTTGCAAACTCCGCACAGAAATACCAGATGGCCTGGCAAGGACCAGGAGC